TCCCATTTTTGACTCAAAAAACATAAAATTTTGCAATTTCTTTCTAAACCATTTTGTAGAGCTTAAAAAAACAAATAATTTAGTATATTGAAGCATTATTATGCGCCTAATGGTTACGGAGAAAATTTCAAAAAATTTTAAATTTAAAATACCCATGTTATTCTTATGGAGAATAAGTAAACTGTTGTAGTTTGCTTGTTTATGAACATATTTTGATCAAATTTGGAAAATTTTTTGTTTCTTAAGCCGCGTTTACACTGGAGTTTCAAACAAAAAGTTGCAAACTTTTATTGCAAACAGCAGTTGCAAACAGTAGTTTCAAATAAATGTTTGCAATTTTTATTTCATGATTTGTTTCCATGTTTCATGAAAATGTTTGAAATAATTTCGACCTTGATTATGACTCGCCTCGTTCTGGTTCCTCTGATCAGTCCTTTGGAGGATGTCAAGTGTCGAGGATATTATTTTAGCCACGGCGGCGTGTGTCGTGTTGTCAAAGCAACGTAGGCCGAGACGATGCTGGGTGAACATCGGTGATTGTATAAATCATCAAATTAACATTATTATTCATTTTTAAAGATTACAAGGACATAATTATAACCCAATTCACATGAGACGTTATTGTTATTTTTAAATTAGACAACCTTGTCATTTGAGGTTAGTGTTAATTCATTGACAGTCAAACAGCATTTTCCCGATTAATTTAACACTGATTCCAGACACAGGGTCGTGCGAGAGATCACGTGAGTGAGAGGGGAGGTGGTAGCATAGGGGATGGCGGAGAAATGTTTCTGTTTCGTGTTTCAACGGCTCATATTGACCGAAACTAGTGTTGCAAACAAAGAGTTTGCAACTCCCTTTGATCTTTACCGACTTCAAGTGGAAACAAAAATTTCTGTTGCAAACACTGAAAAACTGTTTGCAACAGCGAAATGTTTCGTCTAAAAATGTGCGTTTTTAGAGATGTTTGCAATTTCTGTTTGCAACTCGTGTTTCAAACTCCGGTGTAAACGCGGCTTTACTAACTATTAACATTTTACAAAAAAAAAAAAAACAGTTTTACCCTCCCTGATGCAGCAAACCTAAGTACTTTTTAAACTAATTCTATTTAAATCGGGAATAAATGTTATATTTTTAAGTAGACATTTCAGTGTAAATCCAATCAGTCAAATGGAAATTCGCTTAGTCTGCAGGTTTGCTGCGGCGGGGGTATTGATTTTTGGTTTCTATGGAAATAATTTGTATTGTAAACTAATACTGAAAGAAAGAAAGTTAACAAAAACTCAAACTCTTAATTTATTCAACTTATTATTAACTTAAACTTAGATTAAAAGCAGGTAAACCTATTTACAACTTAAACTAATCCACGGATTCACAATATATGGTCTGTCTGAGTGTGGTTAGTTTATTTTTTTACAATAATTATGGATTTTCAAACTGTGTGTAGTATACTATATCTAGTTTATAGCGGAAATAACCGGTTATACATACATGATGATCAGGAATCTTAATACATCGTTCAGGTTGATTAAAGGAATGTGTATGCGTGTTAAAAGAATGTATCGCAGCACTATCGAGTGTGAGGTGTTAACGGACTCATAGTCTGGCAAGTAAATAGGCCTACTGATTCCTATGATCAAACTGCGGCCATTTAATTATTTCCATCCTTTTGCTCTTGGAAGAACTCAGTTCACAGATTTGTTTGCCATCAGCATCAGTAAATCTCGAGGTGGTAAAAAACAGTCTTTGGTCATGGAATACACACGTGGTGCACTCCTGACACATTTTCATGTGATATACCATTCATGTGTTGCAAGCGTGGTATCATTTTCAAATTTCCAAATCAAACAAAATCCACATTTTACTATATAAAGAATCGAATTAAATACGAAACAATCATTTATGTTTAGGTAGATTAATCATAAAAGAATCGTTTACCGGCTTTCGTTAAAAAAAAAACCCTTAAAAAATACGAACTGCCAACGGTAAACTACGAACTCAATTAGGCCTTCAACCATCTCCTTCATTACCAACGAAACCAAAACACCGAAAACACCAAATGAAATAAGACCAATAAAAAGTCCTTCGTCTCCTGTGTCTAGATGGTGAACGACATCCTTAGCACTGGTTTGTGCGGGGTTATGTATTAATCGTATTAAATTTAATAAATGACAACCCAAATCAACTACAAATAAATTTTTAATAGGAACGCTGAAATCCCTGGCTACATATTTAAGGCGAAGATGATTCATGAGTAATTGAGGCCTGTGACTTGTAGAGGCAAAGCTTCTAAACCTTATAAGAGAACCAAGTATTGCAAACTATTATTGCAAAACGAACTAACAAAGAAATTATTTATTCGTCAGAATTTTCTAAAAGCGGGTATAGCATTGGAATCTCAATGTGGACTCAATCTACAAAAACAATTCCACTATGTGTTCATTTATTGCTGGAGGTTTGCCACCGATTAAATTAAAGACACCGGCAATTTCATCTGTGGTCGGTTTATTATCTACAAAATCCATATTTTTGCTATATACATTCATTTATGCAGCGGAGATTTGTTTCTCTCCTTAATCAGAGACTAAACTATTTATCTGCCATTGAATTTAAAAACAATAGGGTCAATTTCCTGGAATGTCCTTCTTTGTGGCTAAAAAATTAGCAAAAATAATTGCACTGGTTTTTTTAAATAGTTATGGGCTTCGTTCAAAGAAATGTTTTTGTTCTTGGCTGAGATAGATTGTAAGTACGTCCATTGTGATGACATGATAACATGGTTATCATCATCATGTATAATCATATATTAATCATCATTATATATAAAATCATGTATCAAAAATATAGAAAAAACTCTGTCATTTTAATATTAGGCCTATTAAAACGTGACAGAGTTTTTTTTTATTTCACGATTCTGAATTGATGAAATGGATAATAAACATAGGCAATTACGTCACTAGCTTAACTAGCGTGTTTATTTTTTTAATTCCTTCAACATTTGACCGGTTCTTTTTTTTCAATGAATGTTATTTTAAGCAAACAGCTGTTTCAAAACAAACTATATGTTATAGTTTTTACATTTCTTTGTTTAAACTTATTTATTTAGCAATTGGTGCAGAGAAATTGATATAAATGATAGGTAAGTTATATTATGTGTACTGTGAATTTGATTTGCTATTATCGTTTTATTTTAGGTAGTAGCGATTCAGACCTACTTGAAGTTGTGTGTTCAATGAGTAATTGCACAGCCACCTCTGAGGTGGCTGTGGTAATTGTATTGTGGTGATAATAATTATGGAAGAGGCAGGTATGCTATGGAAGGTATCGTTGACTAGGTCTATACACTTCTTAATTGACTATTACTCTCTCTACAATAGGCTACTTATAATTAGTGTGCGAATTGGCCACAAATCTCACTTCAACGCTTTTCACATCGTCACAATTGCTGTTTTATTGTAAAATTATTGGATTTAAAATGCATATCGTATAGGCCTATGATGGGATGAAATTATATTTGGTCACGCAACGTTTGTTTACAAGATGATTATTAACATTAAAACTGCAAGTCTTGGTATTTTGTCTTTATACGTGTAAACCAGCTGAACTGACTACTCGATTCCCGTACGTAGGACGGGTTAACACCTCGTTATTAATTAAGTTCGTACTCTAAAACTAAGAACACTACATTGCAAACATTCTAGGTTCATTAAACCAGCATCATGAGTATTTATATTTCTCTTTTCTATCATCGCAGGTGGTTGTAACATATATCTCACTTTAGTTTAAGATTGACTACTCGTTCTCATTTCCGTACCTTGTCATTTCTGTGAACATTTTCCTACCTCTTTTCGTTGGTCTTATCCCCTAACACTCGTAGTATTTACTTGAAGAAAAAATGTACATATACTGGGTGACAAAACAGTCTGGAAACGAATTAATATCTTTATAACTAAATCCGTTAAAAAATTCAAACCTTTCACATCAACTTATACGTATGAAAACTACTTTTTTTCAAGCATTACCATTTTTTGACAACTACCAGAGGAAGACCCATGAGGAGTAGGTACATAATCTGTAATGTAAGCATAGGTTGACATTAGCTACGGAGCTGAAAATGACTCCTCATGGTCCGTACCCCATTGGAGATTGAAATTCAACTAGCTCAAAGACTAATATTATTCAATATTCAGAACAAATTAACCGGGTTCCAGCTCTCTAGCTAATGTTGATTACGAGTATTTACCAATTTTCCGCAAGAAATTTTGACAGCCAACATTCTGTAACGGATAAACCTTTTGAGACGTGGTTTCCGGCAATGAACTCCACTTAATAAGCCCTTTGAAATGATGTGCATATCAATCTATACTTACATTAAATATTATAGAACCTAATTCTCATAGATCGTCCCCTGGTGGAGGTTAAAAATTTATAAAGCTTGCAAAAAGTAGTTTTCATACGTATGTTGATGTAAAAGATGATGAAGTTGATGTCTTACGGATTTAGTTAAAAAGGATTAATATCTGCTTCCAAGACTTTTTGTCACCCTGTATACAGTATGTGATATATATCCAGTACATATCTTGACCAGCTTACCCAATATGGTTATTACATTTTGTACGTTACAAATGGTTAATTAGTAGTGACCATATACAAGCCTCCATCATATTTGCCAATCATCCAATTAAGACGCCGTCTATTCTATTGAATGTGTTTGTTTAGTGGTCAGTAAATTTTAATTCTTTTTTACCTTCTTGTTGTCGGAAACACATTGAGGGTTTAAATTACCAGTTGGAATGAGAGTCAACATTAAAGTTAATACTTTTGGTTTAGTAAAGATCAAAATTAATATTGTTAGCACTCTGCATGGTTACTTAACACCGTCTTTCTGGAAATATGGGATGCTTAAAAAAATGACAACTCAATCTTGTACACAAGTTTATAAACTGTCAGTGTGAATTTAACCTCATCTTGTGGTAGATATTACAAATTTGAGTGCTTACCGTGTGTTAAAACTCAAAGTGATTAAATCCTTAACATCAATCTAATTCGAGGTAGTGATCCACGATTGTCTCCACCACCACACTACCGCACGCCGCACGCGTGTGTAAACCCCACAATCCAACGGTCCGTGAACCTGCTTGTAGTGAAGCTAGCGCGCTACTGACTACTGAGTTGAGGGGTTTAGGGGGTATGGTGGTTGGGGCTGGTGGATGGGTGGTTGAGGGGTTGGGAGCGGTAACCAATTGTGAAAAGTGACAAATAGTGACAGTAACAAAGCATATCCTCTCCAGCTCATTGTGACTTTTCACTGCACTAAACACATTTCAAAGTATAATTCTCCATTTACCAATCGTCGCTTGTTTCATTCATTTTATTTTTAGTCGTTTTTTTTAGTCTCTTTCATGTAATATGTTTTGTCACATACAGCGTCTATTTTAAATGTGTTTATAACAAGCCACCCACAGTATACTGGCAAATTACAATATACAGTACAAGGGGAAACATCAGTTTCTACTATTGAGCAAATATTACACCGAAGATTACTCGATATAGAGGAAAATAGTTCCGATAAAAAACTGTTTTCTTTCCTGCCTAGATCCTACTTAAACTTAATCCCCAAATTACTGAGGCAAGTATTAGCAAACTTGCGTTTAGCAGTAAAATAAATATTTTAAAATATATTATTATTTTTTGTAAATTAAAATTTAAACAAATGTTTTCAATCGGCTATTTTAATTAACTAAACAAACAGTCAGAACAATGTGAATGCAAGTATATGCTATTATAAAATGGTTAATTTTACCATCTAATGTAAATTAAATTAACGTGTTTTAAATTGCCAGCTTAAAATGTCTATAATAATACATTAAAATTCCATTGAAACTTGAAAAATAAAAGCCAAAATTAGTTGTAAATAAAAAGTGAGTTTCCTTTATATGGAAAATATTATTCTTTTACAATCGAAATAAACTATGCCGAGCCATGGCTCGGTCCCCCGTTAGTAATAAAATTGTAAAATGGTTGTTCCTTGCCAATTTTGTTGTTAAGTGTTTTACATTGTATCAGAAGTGAACAGATTGTAAAACAAATTCTGAAACAAAAAGATTTAAGAGTATCTTGCGTAAATCTTGCGTAAAAAAGAGATGGCTTAGTCTTCAGCAAATATGGGAATATCTTAAATAATAGATTAAAATTTTTAACTATTATTAACTGTAATTGTGGTGCAGAAGTCAGTGGCACTAAACATCTCTTTATACGATGTTTTGTAAATTATATCTCAATATAAAAAGGATGGGTACAGGAAGTGGGAATACACGTTGTTTACATTAATTAACAATGTATTTTTATAATACAACTGTGACAATTTGTAGGTTTCAGCTCAAGATGTATCTAGCGCGCCCTGGGAGATATCGACGCAAACACCGCAATACAGTTCTGTATAACTGAAGTGTCTGTCCCTCGGGTAAGGAACTTCAACAATCTTGCTGCTAGTTATGCTAACGCCAACATACAAAAGAAAATAGTAATAACCCCACCACAGCATTTGTATTTGTCATTACCCAACTAGTCTGCATATAGTTGGGTAATGACAAATATATTTCCTAAAAATTGCATGATTTATTCCCTATTCAAGTTACAATAAGTTAAATGAATACGTACTGTAGGTTTGCTGCCACGGGGAAGTTAATAAAGTGTATTTTGTTGAAATGTGTATTGATTAGCATGAAATAAAGAAATTTGCAAAATCTGATCAAAATACAGTATATCCACAAACAAGCAACTGTGCATTTATATTTAATCCTCATAAAAATAGCACGGACACTGTAAAATACAGATAAAAAATATTTTATTTGTAACTTTTAGACGTACAACAGCACTTCAATCTACAAAACAATTTTTTAAATTCTATAAAATTGTTTGAAAATAAATTGCACAATTTTATGTTTGGGGGGGGGGGTTGAAATGGTAAAAACATATTTTTATAAAACACCCAGTAAACCCCTGATCTCATGTTCCAATTCCCGATCATGCTGGTTCGTGAGCTTGATTTTTAATGACTATCATGAAATGCAAGTCTAACCTTGATATAACGAACCTCGATATAACGAATTCCTTGATATAACGAATTTGTTTTAATCCCCTAGAACTCTCCATAAGACACAATGTATATTTTACCTCTACATAACGAACAACGACCTTGATTTAACGAATTTTTCTTGATTTCGGCTAAAATAAGACACCTCAATATAACGAAATTATCATTGTCAGAACCTCTACATTGCGAATTTAACCTCTGCATAACGAATTGTCTACGTCTTTCCCTCGATATAACAAATCCCCCACCCAATTATTGTTTTGGGAAAATCTGTTTCTTTATAAAATGAAATGGAAAGGTCACGTTATCGCTTGCGCTAACATTCGTCTGCTCCGTTTTACATCTTTGTCTGCTGTCGCTGCGCGCGCTATGTTGCAACTGAGAACTGAGGACTGATGACGACGTAATGTTTAGTAAGCTGTGATTGGGCGATATGGGATAACTATGGTGAATTGTACAATTTTTGGATAAAGAGAAACCTAAGAAAGAATATAAAAACAAAACCAAAGAGAAAGAATAGCAACATCGTTATTTTAACATTCCTTTTACGAGTGTTTTTATTGTCCTTAAGTTGGCTATGATTTGATTATACACTTTTATAATGACTTATCTAATAATTTATTGTTTTCAATACGATTTGTTTCAACTAGCAACGCCAATGCTATAGTTAATGATTATTATTGACATTCCTCTGTTGTGATAAATCAGTACTGTACTGTAAGTAGCCTACCGGCCTATCACGAGCAGTAGCTTACAAAACTGCTTTCTACTGTTTTGTTTTGTTCTTTCTTTGTTTATGACTACGCAATACAGTGTTTGGCTAGGTTTAGGAGGGTTAGAACAAGCTGTGCTTTTAAACTTACAGTTTTTAACCTACCAAGGTCGATGCCATTGTCATGATTGCGCAATATTCAAGATACCTCCCCTTTATTATGCCGGATAATTTAGGTTCTACTGTACAATGTAAACACTGTACTGTAAAGTATTGTAGCCTATGCTACTTTAATTGTACTGTATTTTAATGAGGTCAAATCCCGACCTATATTGACCGACGCTGGTTCTGAACCTCGACTTAGCGAAATTCCTGCAAACCTAACCTCTATATAACGAACCTCGTTTTAACGAAATCCTTGATATAACGAATATTCAGTTCGGTCCCTTCAGATTTGTTATACTGAGGTTGGACTTACTTCTTTATTGAGGTGAACATAGGACTTCATTGTCCTTTCTTTTTATGTGAAATTAATTGAAAATTTACTTAAGGAATTGCCTCCAGCACAGCTAGTGACTTTGTCTAATAACTCGTTAATTCCAAAGAAAGTGTTCCACTGCAATCTTTTTAATGAGGACGAATTGGCTAAATTAACTGATTCTTTGAAAAGTAAACAAACCTCTTGAGGATATGATGAAATACCAATGAAAGTTATAAATATTTCAAAAATCCCATTGATAAAGCCATGTATTACACCTGATAAGTTCATCCTTCATTTCTGGCATCTTCCCGGACAAATTTAAGATTTATAAAATCATACCTATCTACAAAAGGAGGAAGAAATTAATGTCGAAAATTGTCGTCCAGTTGCTATTCACCCTTCATACCCAAAAGTGTTTTTAAAAAACCATACATGGTAGACTCATGTTATTTTTAGAACAAAATAGTCTTTTATATGACGAACAACATGGTTTTTTATAAGATAAATCTATCACCACAGCCCTGATCAACTTTACTGAACAAATTATAGAATCAATAGACAAAGTGTTGCTGGCATTTTCATGGACCTTTCATTTGCTGCTAGAGCTTACATTATCTTGAAATAAAAGAAACTCCTTTTTCCTGGTTGAGGTCATATCTCACCAACAAGCAGCAGTTTACAGATATCAGTCATATAAACAAAGCTCAAATTTCAAAGATTCCCTCCTCAACACAAAACATAAAGCATAGCGCCCCGCTAGGGTCAATTCTTGGCCCTTTACTTTTTATTTGTTGTGTTAAGAATATGCCAAACTGTCTATGTAACAATGAAATATATAAAACTAAACTGGTACAGAATGCTGAGAATTCTAATCTCATTGTATCTGCTAAATGCCAGATTGAACTGGAAGTAGCAGCTCATATAGAATTATCACAAACCCGTGAATTTTTAATAAACAATTGATTAATATTAAACTCACGAAAATAAATTGATTTCAGTCAGCACAAAACAGAAAAATAAGTGTAGCCATCATATTTGTATTTTTTTTTTTTTTTTTTTTTTTTTTTTTTTTTTAGGGAGAGGAGGGAAAATGCTTTTACGCACACAGGTAGCCAGCCTGTAGTGTGAGACTCCTGAAAATTGTCAGACTACTCACTAAAAAACCCCCTCTACTCTGTTGGACACAGACCTGGAATTGTTTGTCACATTACTTCAAGTCAGGCCAACATGTGACCTAAGCCCTCAGGGCTCGCACCGTTTCTGGCATTTCGATTCTTAATGACCTACAACCGCATCCCGGTCAAGGTCGATCTTCTTGGCGCGGAGAATACCCTGGATATAATGTGACACACAGGTCCAATTGTCCTCACCCTCCGTCATAATCGGTATGACCGTGTCCACCGACAGCAGTCCTATTAATTGTTGAGCCTCCAGGCGGGGCCTTTCCCAGCGCTGGCAGTGGAAAAATGTATGTTCCACGTCATCGAGAATGCCTGGGCAGTATATGCAGTCGGGTGATACGGCTTTGCCCATCCTGAACAGGTACGACCGGAAAAAGCCGTGTCCCGTCAGAAATTGGGTGAGGTAGAAGTCCACCTCTCCGTACCGCCGATCAACCCAAGGTTGGACTTGCTGTATCAGTCGCCTGGTCCAGAGTCCCCGTGTCTCCTGTTCCCAGCCCTCCTGCCACAGCTGGTAGGTGCGGGTGCGTTCCTCTGTTCGTGCCTCGTCCTCCCCACGGCGCCGGTAAATTGCCTTTCTCTCCGCCGCCAAAAGTTTGACGGGGATGACTCCAGCAATCACCAGGACGGCGGGCTCGGACACTGTTCGGTAG